ACATACATACATACGTACATATGTGCCTACGGTCGGCTGTTGAGGCTACAGTGGGTGCGGAGCTTGCAAGGATCAACCTACAAGTCTACAAGCGTGTATAGGACACGCAGGGTTTGCTTCAATAAGCTGTCGATCTAGTTGTGCCAGGGCAAATATCGCAGGTGGGTTTGTGCTGGGATGGTACGGTTCCTTCTATTCCTGGTAATCAGACCCATCCGATTGCGACATACAAACGCCTATGTTGAGGCACTCTCTAGGAGGGCGAGCTGTCTACGAAAGGGATCATGCGGGATGCCTGGAGAAACCGCCGAAATCCTGAAGGTCCCTAACCAACAGTATCCTGCGAGTCCAACAGGAATTCATGTGCATTTCCATTACACATGGTCTGCGATCAAAGGACATGGGACAAGGATACCAGAAACCAAGAAGGGAACAGCTAATATCATATATCATGTGCACAACAGCAACTGAGAATCCTGCTGGCTTGCCTTTAGTTGAGCGGTGCCACTGAAGCAGCGCTTTCCGTAACGATCCTTGTACCGCTTCACAGTCTTGACTGTCACTGCTTTCTGCGAGGGTTTCTGTCGAACCAAACGACCACGGTATAGTAGGGAGACGGTTGGGGCATTGGAGTAAGCAATGTGGCGCTTGGAAGTTGGTCCACCGTAGCTCCGCATCCACCACCAGGCCCGGTAGACCTGCCGCAGAATATAACGACTTAATTAAATTTAAGTCACTAGCTAGCTGACTAGCTAGCTCGATTCCGGTTCGGTTGCTTCCTTGCAGCATTGCTGCGTCTACATCAGGCTTCGCAAGAATGTCTGCGATGCATTGCACAAGCGCTTGTGCAGCTAGTCGTGTACCAACTGCATAAGTCGTGCAGCAGGCTACAACAAATATCTAGCCCCCGGTACATATTCGAACCCTGGTCGAGAGCCTTGGGGAGCCGTCGAATCATCCATCGGAATCTAGGGTGCCACTCCATTAATGAGCTTCCTGGTTGCTCGATCAGCCAGGCCAAGTCCATCGCCGTGCACAACATCACGAGGAGTACGACCCTGAGATGCGTCGAGGCAGGTCGCTAGTCTTAGAGGGCCGGGTCGATACCAACTATATACACAGGTCTACTTACATGACTTTGTAGCACACACCTGTCCCTACAGAACATGCATCTGATGCTTGTACTTAAGGGCCTCACATCACCCTATAACTGCTAGCTTGTTTTAGTTGGGGGGGGCTCGAACTGTTATTGCGTTGCCTTTCTGAAAGTGAAAAAATAGCGAACATTGATGCTGATTGTTTGCGATTAGCCGGCTCACCATTGTGTTGGCTACGCGGACTGTCGGCTGAGTCTCGTCTCCTAGCGGAAACCAAGGCGTTCGTTTGTGGACGTTGGCACTGATGATTACCCAGGAGCTGCAAACAACTCCAATCATCACCAAACAATCGCGAGGCTTGCTGTTGAGCACTGTCACCATGGCCAGCCTGGGGCTTTCTAAAGGCTTGCTTGCAGGAACTTGGATCGAGGCAATACGAGGCACTTTATACATAAAACGACAAGTGAATTTCAGCTGCATCAGTACAGACCCTTTCACGACCGAAGCACGCCATTCCTGATGGGGTCATAATATCGTAGGCGTTCTGCTTCCCAGGTGGACGTGAACCCAACTTCACGTCCAAAGCTGCAGTAGCAAGCCCAGCTCGACCCATGCATCGGGTCACCCACGCGGTGCCACAGAAGAACTCTGTAGACTGATATGCCTTGGCCGGGCACATGTGGGAGGATCGTGGCTGCAGTAGGGACGAGAAAGCAGTTGAAGGTAGTGCGTGCAGACTAACTGACAGCACAGACCCGTATAGAATCTACGGATGATCGCTTGGATCCTGTCGAGGGAGCACTCTACATCATAAGTTCTGCGCCTGCTGGAAGGTGAGAATGTTGCTGCTGAATGCCAGCAGAATGACACAGGCGAGGAGGACCTGCCGCCACACTTCTGAGGTTTTCGGGGGTTGGGGTGAAAGGGCTTTATCGGTTCCTATCCTGGCTTTAGATGGTCATATTATAAGACTTGGATCATTATATATATATATATATACACACACATACGATTGTTACAAGTTTCCCATATGGCGGGCTTATATACACTAACGAAGGTTCTATAAAGTGTTAATCTACATATATCTAGATATATGTGTATCCGAGGGTATTATAAGTATTATATGAGGGATTGATAGGGTCTATTTGGGTTTTTTGTAGGGTTTACAAGTGGAGTAGCTCGTCTACAAAGTTGCTCGTGATTCCGGGCCTTTGGGGCGCCGATACATCGCAGTCTGTGCAGCACTTGTAACAGCATAGGATGAGCCACAGTCATGTTCGTCTACAGGGTCGATCGACAAGCGCTGGCAGAGCAAACGTAAACTGTTAATTGAGAAGCCTAGAACCGTACTGCAATCTCAATACGGACCAGCGACGTGCCAGAACTGCAGTTTATACAGTTACTTAGCAATATAGTACTAGGCCACCCATACAAAGATCACGACTCCGGGGGCACTTGAGCTCGCAGTCTACAAGAGCCACGACAGGACAGGCGGCACATCTGATGTCGCGCACACGATCTCTGCTCCAGACTCAGAGATTCCATGAGATTTCAGCCCAAAGCTCCGAAGCCAGGGCAATTGCAAACAAGCCAGCTTTCCTTCCACCTGTGGTCCCAGCCGCACAAGCCAAGCATTGCCCCGCGACATGATGACCTGGGCGGCGCACGGAGTCGTAACTAGGTTCATGTGATTCAGAATTGCGTGTTGCGCACGCACGACCTGCTAGTGCAATGCGTGGTGAATCTGCGTCCAACAGTTGAAACGATCGAGGCTGTGCCTGGAGCTGCGAAGCCTTTTCTCCGAGAGCAGGCCGGCCGATTGAGTGATGGGCCGCACATGCGTACATGTTCAAACTTGAGAACCGCCATGACAGTTGGGCCCCGGCAAGCTCTAACCCTGTCTGCTGGCATGTACCGGACACGAAGACTGGCTAGCCATTGCTGCGTGACCATTATTTGTTTAATTGCTTCTTCACAACAGATGAACCTATTAATCTAGGCTTCATTAGAACCACCGATACAAAGCTGCTTTTGGTTTGTAGGTTGGCCAGCCATCAACATGCCCCTATGCACGATTTGCAGCTGCACAGGGACGCTTGACCCATCAACTAGAGCATGGCTCACTAATCTCAAGTGGAACACTCCCCTAGATTGGTATCGAAGAGCACATGACAATCAAAAGCTTGCCTCAGTACTCACGACCCCTACAGGCCTGCCTTTGAAGACGTCCTAAGGTTATAGCCTCTACAATCGGGCCCCGGTACAGAACTTTGTATTGCTTGTTGGATATAATGTTACAAGATTGCATACCAGCAGGTGTCAAGCCTGAGGCAAAAATACCCCAAAACCGATCTCATTCAGCTCGTGGCCGTGAGATTTCTCACGTACTTCCTGGCTGCCTTCCTCGTCAGGTTCAGCAGATTGTCCTCGTTGAGCTCGTGGCCCTTCTCCAAGAAGTGCGTGACACAGTACGTCCAAAACGGGTCCTAGCCGACTGTAGCACAGGGACACAGGGAAGCTCAGCCGGGTCATTATGGGGGAACCTATGTGGCTGCCTATATTTAGCACACTTATATGATGTGTATAGGATCATTGGCTCGGCATGTTAATTGTGGTAGCTTGCGTGATTTGGCTTTCACATGATGTTGGCTTATATGTATTATATATATATATATAACTCAATTAAACGTACGCCGTGCTCCGAAATGAAATTCGGTTTCCAAACTGATAGAGACCGCTCATGCAAAGCAGAACACACACACACACACACCGACCGAGAGTTGGACCGTCAGCACAAACATATTTAAGTCGAGCCACACATGAGCAACCTCATACATCCAAGTCTATACACTAGCTGACTAGCTAACATAGTTAGTTCAAAGCTCTAGCTTGCGAACAGGATCGAAGCCCAACTCACCAGCAAGCAAGGGAGTCCTCGTGCTTGCTGGGGGCATACGGAATCTCCGGCTTGACAAACTCCTCGAAAACGTCCCTGAACACAGTCCACTTCTTGAGGCTGAAATTTTGCAGCTTCGGGCGGGGTCGCTTCGCGAAGGTGCTCCTCCCGGCATCTTCGTCAGCCGGGCTCGGAGTCGGACTATTCTCCATCGGCTCTCCAAGCCTTGGTTTTGCCGCTTTCTTCGGCTGCGACGTTTGCGCTGCCGGGCGCTTCAAAACGGACTTCTTGCTCGCTGCTGCCGCCGGGGCCTTTCGGTGCTCGCATCGGGTCATGCACACATGAGTTGAAAAGACTGTCTATCGAATCGATCGAGTCTACATATGCACCGATCAAGAAAAGTCACAGTATGCCCGTCGTCACATATGCATATGCACAGAACAGCACACACAAAATTCGCCAATCCCACATGCAATGCTTGCGTGGGAACGAATACAAGATTATAACTTTAATGTCCTGCAATGCATTACCTAGTTTGCGCACGCACAAGAATGGATTCATTGAAATATAGACACTGCATGTGGCCCGCACACCTTGATCTTGTTCTTCTTGTTCGCTTTGCTGCCGGACTTGGGAACCTCTTCATCATTGTGGCCCTGACTGAAGTAGACAGTCGCCTCATCATCGATCTCCGCAGGCTCGCCGTCATCCCCGTCCTCTGGCTCTTCAGCGATGCACTTGGCCTTGGCTTTGGCCTTTGCCTTGCCTTTGCTCTTTGCAACGGCCTTTTTCTTGGGGGCCGCCTTGGCCTTACTTTTGGCCTTGGCCTTGGCTTTGGCTTTGGCCTTGGGCCGCGCTGGCCCTTCATCGGCCTCCGACTCGTCCTTCTCCGACTCGTCGCCCTCCGGCTCGTCCTCCTCCCCTGCTGCATCCTCAGCAGGCTCCTCCGTGTCGGACCAGCAGACGTAGCCGTCGCCCTTCTCGATCTCACACTTTTTGCGGCCCTTGCCTTTGGGAGTGTCCTCCTCCATCGGCTCTTCCCGTCTCGGTTTTGCCACTTTCTTCGGAAGCGGCTTCTTGGCAGCCGGGCGCTTCTTCGGGGGCTCCATATCCTCGTCATCGTCCTCGTCATGGTCATCCATGTCATCATCTGCGTCGTCAGCAGGCAGGGCCGCTCCCTTTTTTTTGGTCTTGCCCTGCAGCTGCTCACGCCGGGTCACCTTGCGACAAAGTCTATCTATCTGTCTACCTGTCGTTCTATCCACCTGTCTATATATATATATATATGTATATATATATATATATATCTATTGTGTACAGATGTATCTATGTATCTACTCTCTGTATGTACGTATGTACGTACGTATGCATGTATGGGTGTATGCAGTTTCTTATACGGTTGTAATTATAATTATATACTTATATACAGGCCACATGCATGTATTATTTACATATATATATATATATATACAAATATTGCAGTTGCATATACATATATACGTATATACATATACACATATGAACATATATTCATATATATATATACACATATATAAATATAATTATAAAACATAGATACATATACACATATGTACGTATATACATAATATACATACTACATGCACACATGCGTACACATGTGTATATAGACATACGGGCACAATATTGTTTGACACCCCACACATATAAGCATGTGTACGTATATATAGATATATATATATACAAAATGAGAGGTATATGTATGATCATAAAAGATTGTATACATGTAATATATATATATATACAATACATATATATATATATATAATATATATATATATATATGTATTTTTTATTTAATTAATTTGTGGCACATGCATAAATGCCAGTAAAATAAGACTCTGTGTGTGTGTATGTGTATACACACATATATACACATACATAATATCAGGAGGTCGCTTGATCTTGTCTGCTGGAGATACACACACACACACACACCTATGGGGATGTGTATCTCAACCTACAGCATGGAATGCATTAATGTGTACATGTACTTGTTGGTATCGTTATACATGTACTTGTTGGTATCGTACAAAAGGACGGTAGAAGCCCAAAGAACAACCGAAGGGAGTTTGCCCGTGTACAATGCTTCTGAATTGGGAGATATATATTTAAACCTGGGGCAGAGGAACCTGAGCATTACATTGATCTGAATTGGGTTAGCTGAGAGCCCCACCACTGGGGCATCTTCCTCCTCTGGCCCGTCCTCGATAAGGAGGCTCTCGATGTTCTTGGCCAAAACCTCTGCTGCCTCGTCCAACTCCGGTGCACTGAGGACTTGGGTCTCTACAGCATCGAGGGGGTAGGTCGACTCGATGTAAGCCGGCTTGGCTTTGGATGCTCCTGACGAAATTCGCTTGCTTGCTGCTTTTGTTTCTAGACAGAAATTAAATCTTTGTGAAATCCTGCTCCGGGTCGGGCCGGTGTAGCTTCTGAGTCGGGCTCGGAATCAATGGCTGCTTCTGTGGATCTCGCGGCCTTCCCTTCTGCAGCCCATGTCGCCTGCAGGTTCGCCGCAGCTTTCCTTAGCTTTTCAAACATATAATTGCATGGAATATAAGCAGGTGATCAATAATAAACATGCATGCAAACCCCGTGCAATGCAACATGCGAAGTCAAAAGAGGTATCTCCTGCATGGAAATTGAACGTGCACATACTATTCCATGCACACATAAATAGTGGCCGACACATACATGACCCTACTCAAACTCAATATGACAATAAACATGTGCAGGATTTGTTTTCTGAGACCCATGTGCACGCACAGGTTTCATGCCGAGGTTCCGTGCAGCAATCTGTGCCTTTGTGGCTGCGATCTGTTTGCGAAGTTTGTCCAAGCGCGCGCATTTGCACTCCGCTGGGATCTGTCCGCATTTGCAAAGCTCGGGGTGCTGCTCCCAGCCCTTTGGGACACGGGCAGCTTCTGGGCGGCCTGCCTTCTTTGGAA